TTTTTATTCCCATATCTTCAACTCCTACAGTAGTGCTTCACAATGGATAGCTCTTTATTTGCCATACATAAAAATGGTTTATTTACCTTTTTTAATATATATGTTATTGTTAAATACGCTTTATTAATGTTATTGTAGATCTTTTATGTATGATATGTTATCATTTACTTATGATATTGAAGTTATTATATATCTGGTCGTATCTTCTCGCCGCGAAGGAGCGATTTTCATCATACATTTAAGGACAAATATGCGAGAGTAATGTAACGGACAAAAATAAAAATAGCATTTCTTCGGTGTGACAACAAAAACCTTTTTTGTTGCGAGAACAACACAGAAACTTTATTAACATGGAAGAAACAGCCTACATACTAATACGCGAGAGTAATGACCAACACATAAATATGTAATCATTTTGTATGGATATGCTTTCTGTTGGGAGATAGATATAAATCTCTCTCTGTTTACTCACTTTGTTCTACTATATGATATATCTTTTGCCATTAAATCGTCGCTCAATATATCTTTGATACATTTACGAAACCTGAGTCCAGCCGGGTATATAACACACACGTCTTCTCCTTTTTTTCTCAGACATCAGTGAAGACAGCCTCTCTTTTGTAGGGCTCTTGGCTTTCTCTTCCTGCCTTCCCACTCTCTTTGCCCTTTCCAGTTGTCTACGACCCCATCTTTTTCACCACCGTCTCTCTTCTTCCTCCCCTAGCCGCCCACTGTACAGCCCCTTGTTCCCAACTTCCCCCGTCTCCGCCGTCACAACTCGGAAGCCGTAAGTCATGTCCTTCCTTGCGACACTCATTGTATCTGTGTGAGAAAGAGACGGGAGAGGAGCTTGCACCGAGAGAGATGGGCGTGCAAGCAAGAATTCTCCAATCTAGTCCCTGAATTGCTCTCGTAGAGTACTTGTTGGTGGTACATCTATACTTGTAGTGTAGGAGGAGAGGGAGAAACTAGTGGTAGGTGGTAGTGTACTGGAGCTTTCCGCCACCTGCACTCACTCCGGTAAGGTAGATCAAACTGAATTTTGTGTTTTGGGCAGGGAATTCGAAGGAAGGTGGTGTGGTGGCGGTGGCGGCGGCCATGCAGCATCCCGAGCAGGGTGGCGCCGGGTACCCCTACGGGCCGCCGCTTCCGGGGATGGCCCCGTTGTTGCCGCAGCCGGCATCCGCGGCCGTGCCTGTCAGCAGCATCCCGTCTCCGACGCCGTCGCCGATGCAGCCGCAGCCGCAGCCAGCGGGGACGAGCTTCGACCAATTGCCAGCCGCGCGTGTCAGCAGCATCCCGTCTCCGACGCCGTCGCCGTCGCCGATGCAGCCGCCGCCGCAGCCAGCGGGGACGAACTTCGACCAATTGCCGTCCGCCGGCGCCGTCAGCTTCCACGACGACGAGAACACGCCGGTCGACGGCGGAAGCGGCAGGAGCGGCGGCGACGCGGGGGCGGGAGGGTCCGGCAGCCGGTGGCCGCGGGAGGAGACGGTGGCGCTCATCAGGATCCGGTCGGAGATGGACGGCGCCTTCCGGAACGCCGCCCTCAAGGCCCCCGTCTGGGAGGAGGTCTCCAGGTGAGAACGAAACTGTAAAAATCTCCTCTCCCCTGCGCAATGCGGCTAACGGTTTCAGAGAATTCGCCGTCCGTCAGGCCTGTCCTGCGCGGAATGATGGCGAGCTATCCTGCCATTCCCCATCCAGTTTTGGCGTAATGCGACGCCCCTCGATTTCCGTGTCGCTGGGGGCCGGCGCTCGTCGTCTCGGCTAGAACCTCGGCGCCCGGGAGCAGTGCGCCACTGCCACGGGGGTGCGGAGCAGGCCACGCAGGCAGGCGCTGCAGCGCAGGCTGCTGCATTGTTTTCTCTGCTCTTACTTTTCTAGCCATTGATGCACTCTGGTCTCTGGGAAAAGAAGGTGCACAGGAAGTCTTTTGCTCCCATCCCGATGCTGCTCTCATGAATTAATCTGCATCTCTCTCCCGCTGACAGTGCCATCATCTTGACATCATCGCGCACCTCTTTCCAATTCCTCCCGTCTTCAGTCTCTCTCAGAGAAAGAAAGATAAAGAAAGTCAGGAGTTTTGACTCATCCTAGTACTTGTGTGATAGCGTTGTGTCAATTTTATTTTATACTAGTATGGATTACCACTCATGCCATCTTCATTGCTGCGCCAGTTTGGTTGAGACGTGAAAGCAAGAGACGGCCTCTGACAGCAACAAGATTTTGCAGGAAGCTTGCGGAGCTGGGCTACCGCAGGAGCGCCAAGAAGTGCAAGGAGAAGTTCGAGAACGTGGACAAGTACTACCGCCGCACCAAGGAAGGCCGCGCCGGGCGCCAGGACGGCAAGAACTACCGCTTCTTCAAGGAGCTCGAAGCGCTCCACGCCGCGGCCCCGCAGCAGAACCAGCACATGGCGACCGCCGCGCCAATCTTGCCAGATCCTCGGCCGTTGGCAATGGCGCCTGCCTATCCTGGCGCCGGCCTGCCGGACCTCAGCTTGTCGTCGAATTCGCAGTCAGAGTCGGACGACGAGTCAGACGAGGAGGAAGACCAGGCGGGCGGCGGCGGCGGCAGGAGCAACGAGAGCATGATGGCGCTCTTCGAGGGGATGATAAAGCAGATCACGGAGAAGCAAGACGCGACGCAGCGGCTGTTCCTGGAGACGCTTGAGAAGTGGGAGGCCGACCGCACCGCGCGGGAGGAGGCATGGCGCCGGCAGGAGCTGGCCCGCATAAGCCGCGAAAGGGAGCAGCACGCCCGGGAGCGAGCCGCCGCGGCCGCCCGCGACGCCGCCGTGATCGCGTTCCTCCAGCGCGTCGGCGGGAGCTCCGTGCTGCCCACCCCAATGCCGGCCCACACAGCGCCTCATCCCGACGCGCCGGCCTCCTCGCTCCAGCTGGTGGTCGCCGCGCCGGAGGAGGGCGGCCGGCGAGGAGGAGGGGAGAGCAGCGCGGGCATGTCACGGTGGCCCAAGGAGGAGGTCCATGCGCTGATCCAGCTGCGGATGGAGAAGGACGAGCACTGCCAGGACATGGGGGCCAAAGGGCCGCTGTGGGAGGACATCTCCGCCGGCATGCGGAGGATCGGCTACAACCGGAGCTCCAAGCGGTGCAAGGAGAAGTGGGAGAACATCAACAAGTACTTCAAGAAGGTGAAGGAGAGCAACAAGAGGCGCCCCGAGGACTCCAAGACGTGCCCCTACTTCCACCAGCTCGACGCTATCTACCGCAAGAAGCAATCTGCCGTGAGCAACGCCGCCGGCGGCTGCTCTAGCACTGCCTCCGGGAACGCTGTGGCCGCGGTCAACGCCTCCGCCTCCGAGCAGCATAACCCCTGGCGCGAGCTCGAGGGTAAGATCAGCAACGACTTTGACAGGAGGCACACCGTTGGAGGGGGAAGCTCAGATGCCCCGCCCGGCGACGGCGAGGTGGCCGCGGCCAGTACCGTGCTTGATGCCATCGCTACAACCAAGGTAATGACTCAAACTTCCGAATCTCTCTCCATGCCGTCGATTGCTTGCAACTTAATCGCAATTGGCCTCGGACAGAAGTCTGAAGACAACGTGATGGCAATGGAGTCAAACATTCAGTCCCAGCAGACGGAGGTGACGGCGACGGACGAGACGGACAGCGACGACATCGAAGGCAACTACACCGATGACGGCGACGACGACGACGGCGACGAGGATGACAAGATGAAGTACACCATAGAGTTCCAGAAGCACAAAGAGGGCGGAAGCAGTAGCGCTCCTGCTGCCCCAGCGACAGCTGCGACGGTGGTGACGAGTTCGGCCCCGACAGGCAGCACCTTCCTTGCCGTTCAGTAGACCCCCGTGCCGAAAGAAAACCAGGCACCAGCTTCCTCTTCGGTTCATGAGCACCAGCAGCCCTTGGCACCATCCTATACCATTTGTTGATTTGTTTCTGTAATAGCAACCTCAGTGGTCAAAAGACAAAAAGAAAACCAAACCGAAATAAGTGGCTCCCCTCTGTGATTTCATAACTAGACTGGAAAACAGGGGAGGTGCTAGAGCATTAGAAATCCCAAACAGCAAGTCTTTTTTATAGGAGGCTTATTATAGCCTAAATTTTACAATTTATGTACATTGATATAGCATTCTGAAAACCAGAGCCTCTGTTTCGCCTATTTTATTCTATTTTGAAATTGAAGTAGGTTATATTCTACTCCCTCCATTCCAAAAAGTTTGTCTTACATTTGTCTAGATATATATGTATCTAGACACATTTTAGTGTTAGATATGTCACTATCTAGAC